GTTCTCAAAATTATTCAATAAGATTAAATGATAATTTTGACTAATAATTAATGTGAAATTCCATTATATAACAATATCCATGAAAAACTTGATAAAGGAGCATATTATTTCAATTGGATATAATGAATTATTCTTTCTTAATCTTCCTTTTCTTTAACAGACATTACAAATTTTGATGTAATTTTCAATATCTTTATATAAGTTCAGCCAATAATAATTTTGTGATATTCTATGATATATTACTTTAATATCAAAGTGTCTGATATAAATTGTTGAATATTTATTGAATAATATTTCTTCTATTTTAGTTATTTTAATAACTTTTAAGAGTTGTTCTGAATCTCTATTATTGCATCAGTAAAGTGTTTGATTTTTCATAAAGTAATATTTTACTTTATTTCTAAATTTTTGTTGCTTTTTTACTATTAGATTTTCTGGTAATTATAGTGTGTTTAAATAGTTAATGAGTTGATTATATTCAAGTAAGTTCATAATATTGATTGGGTTATTTCAAAGTTAAGTGTCCAAGTTATTTTTTACGAAGATTAAATTATCTTTTTGTGTTTTAATTTACGTTGAATTTGGCTTGAAATGTCAAGAGAGTGGATCTACATTTGAATATAAGCATCCTTTACGATATTCAATATTGAAGTTGTAGTCTCACAAAGTCATAATACATCAGATTAATCTATCAAAAAGGTTTAGTTTGTTGAATAATATTTTTAAGACACTATAATTAATGATAACAGTAAATGAAATGGTTGATTATAGATATAATCTGAAGTATTAAACTATCCAGATCACGTCTAAACTTTCTAATTCAGTGATATAATAGTTTCATTCATGTATACTAGTTCTTCTACTAGCATAAGCTACTATATGTTCTTTATCGTTTATTCCTTTTTGTGCAAGTACAATACCTAATTCAAAACTAGAGATATCAGTATATAACAAGAATGATTTTTCAAAGTCAAGATAAATTAAAATTGATGATAATATCAAATGTTATTTTAGTTCTTCAAAGACTTTTTGACAGTCTTCATTTCATATGAAAGATTGTTCTTTTTTCATAAGCTGGTGTAATGGAGTGATAATTTTAACAAAGTTTCTAATAAAGCGTCGATAATAAGAGGCTAGTTCTAGAAATCCTCTTAGTATTGTCAAATTAGTTGGAACTGGAAAGTTTTGTATGGCTGTAATTTTTGCAGAATCAGATTGTATTCCATTCTTTCTGATAATATATCCAAGAAAAGCTAATGAAATCTTTTCAAAATAGTATTTGTTTGGATATAATTTTAATTCACTTTTTCGAATTATATCTCAAATGCTGTAAATGTTCTTTGAAAGTTTCTGAGAATACATTAGTGTCATCTAGGTAAATAGCTAAGAATTTGTTGATATATGATCTAAAGATTTTATTCATCAATCGCTGAAATGTTGCTGATACATTTGTAAGTTCAAAGGGTATTACATTGAATTCATATAATCCTTTGCTAGTGATGAAAGCAGTTTTCTTTTGATCTTTTGGTTTTACTTTTATATACCAATATCCACAAATAAGATCAAGAGTTGAAAAGTATTTGGCTTTTTCAAATATATCTAATAAGTCATCAATTCTAGGTAAGAGAAATTGATTTTTTATAGTTATTTTATTGAGTTGTCGATAGTCTACACAAAATTGAAATTTTTCATCCTTTTTCTTTGCTATCATGACTGGTGCTGACCAAGGATTATCTGATGATGAGATAATATTTTGCTTGAGCATTTTGTCAATTTCAGTTTTAATAAACTCTTTTTCTAATGGTGATCTTCTATAATATGGTTTTAAAGCTATTGATTGACTAGTTTCAGTATTTATTTCATAATATCTAAAACTTAATATATAAATTGCGGATAAGTGTTTAATATATAATTCATCTAATTTTTCGTTAACACCACCTTGATCATAGTTATTTTTATATAAAGCTAATCAAGTGGTTTTTCACGTGTCGATCGCATATGACCAAAATTAGTTTGATAAAAAATCAATTACTCGGCAATTGAATTTTCTTCTGTAAAACGTCATTTTCACATCACTCAAACACTATGTCTTCCTTATTGCAGAACGAATTATTCTCTAAATGGACCTTGGCGTTTGGCTCAGCAAGACACAAGCTTCTTGCTATCAGGCGACAAGAAGGAATCGAAGAAGTAAAACGAAAGGGAATTATTATTGACAGAGAGATATCACGGAAAGCTTATCTCAAGTTTTGTGAAGGAGAACCAAGAATTTCTGTTAAACATCGTTTGGTCGACGGAAAAATTGAAGCTTACGAAATGCCTCTCAACTCTCACTCAGCGGTACAAGGAGAATTAATTTATATTATGAGAGGCTGGAGTGATCAGTTGAGAGTCCATGGTGAATTAGATGTTATTGTGGATACAAGAAGTGTCTATCGTCCTGATGCTTGTGTTCAACCAAGGAATCGTCGACAACCTCAACCCTCACGAGCAGTCAATTCATCCGGAAAACCATATCCAACTCTAGTGGTGGAAATCGGCAATACAGAGAGTTTAAACAGTTTGCATGAATTAGCTACGAAATATTTTTCTCAGCGGACCACTATTCAAATTTATTTAGCCATCAAGTTATTCCTATCTGGTGCGCTTCTTGCACTGCTTTACTTACGTAACAATTCAAATCAAACAATGCCCGTAATTGTCAAGTCTTTCGGAACAGCGGATCTTGCCAATCTCTCACGAAATTATCTTCTAAATACTGCACATGTTCCAGCAAATGTGATCACTGGTGTCGGATTTGGAGGGGTTCCTTGTGATGGTCCCAATATTCCGGTATATCAAATAGCTATTCCTACTATATTACTTTTTAACGATGTTCCTGGCGGTGTTCCTGGTGGTGTACCTAGTAACTTTATAGTAGATCTATGGAGATTACAAGATGCAATTCTGAATGATTAGATGCATGGGTGAATTTTACTTTTGCATATTGCACAATTTCAGCGGGTCAATAATTATTTTTGTATAATGTAACCTGAACTATTAACATTTTATGATAATAATAATAACAACAACAATAATAATACGCAATTTACATTTATTAGAGGTATTATTTTATTAACATGTGGTATATTACAAATAAATTTCATTTAGCTGGTTAAAATACATAAAACCAAATTAATATGAAATAGCAAAGTCCCTGACTAGCCCGTCAGGATTTCACGTGAATGGCGCAGTATATCAAGAAGCACTTTGTTTCTTTCTCGAAATAGTAATAACGATATAGTCTATACTAGTCCAAGGTCCGATTCGGCATTGATGATGTTCTGATACAATGGAATAAGTGTCTCAAGTTTTTCCATATCCTGTGGTGTCACAGTAGTAGTTGTTGCGCTTGAAGGTTCCGAATTCGTGGAAGACTCCCCAATTAACTCATCGATAAGCTGATTCAATGCATTTGATTCTTTTTTGGTTGCTTTTTTTTCTCCTGTTTTTTAACTTTTTTAGCTGTGGTCTCTACAGATACAGATTCAGTGATGCGCTTTTTTGGTGAAGCTGGAAATAATAACATGTCCTCTGAAATCGAAAATAATGGCACCCCCTCTGCGAAGCTTGCGTTAGCATTAGCAGAGAAATTTCCATTTGATCTTTTGTTCCTGTCTCATTATTAACTGAAGTAAGAGAAGTTTCGATATCTTTGTATCTACATCCCATATTTGGACATCTCGCTCCCACAGTTAGCAGATGTTTTTTGAGGCACTTTTGATGATAGAGACATCCACAGCTGGCCATCGTAAATTCTTTGATTTCACTTGCAGGATGTGGAATAAACTCTTGTCCACATAACTGGCATGGATCCAGTTTTGGAACTTCAACGTTATAATTTAGAATTCCCGGAATTGCACTGAGAACTTTTTTGCAAATGCTATAAGTTTTATCCATGCTTTGAACAATAAAAATACATATCGTCCGAATTATTTATGCGTCCCAACTCGAAATGGTATTACGTCTGAAATGGTGCAAAGATAGGTAAATTTATTCATTCTTAGTGAAATTAATGATCGGCGAAAAACATGTAAATTAATCAAAAAATACCAATAGCGATAGGGAAATTGGGTCGCACGAAAACATGTGGATCTAACCCGTAAAGCGCTTATTCAGTCATGATCGACTCTGCATTCACGTTGTGTTGGAAACGTGCTACGTAATACGTAAAAATCGGTCAATGCAGTTAAATATCTCACTACAAAACTATAGAAGCGTTGGATGGTGCATTTCCAAGTATGTATATAGTTCAGTATAATCAAACACTCCAACCATACTTCCCTTATTTTTATTTTCAACCAGCACAAAGTTATTCTCTGGATCGTATGTGTGTTCATATTTATTCGGATTAAGCAGATTCATATACTGAGAGAGATTATCTGTGAACTTGCCATTTATTCGATCCAAATATGGCATATACATTCGAGTATTTTTTGCTACTCCTCTATATAGAAATTGGGTCGCACTAAAAACATGTGGATATTAATAGTGATCCTAGCTGGCATTAAAATACTGGCGCAACTAAGTCAAAATTTCTTGTTTCAGCTAGCTGGCTAAAGTCATGTGAATTTCCTTATTTAGAAATTTATTTATTTCTATACTTATGAGATTGTATTACATTATTATATTATCTATTTTTACTTGAATTCTTATTGATTAGACAATTTAAAAAAACTGATATAAAAGCTAAGTTTTCTTTAAGAAAAAGAAAATCATGTATATTTGTAAGATCAAGATGATTTCTCTTGTCAGTTAATATATTATCAGCATTACTAAAAAGGCGTTCAGCAGAAATCGAAGAGACTGGAGTTGCAAAATAAATTCTTGCTTGCTCTACAAGTAAAGGTAGCATTGCTTTGTAATCATTCCATTACTTATAAGAATTATTTATTGTATATAATAGAAGAGTTATTTCATACTTTGGAAGTGCTGGCATGCTTTAATAAATGCAAAGCTCCAACTCAATGAATATCTCAATGATAATTGATGTTGTATTATAGTCATCATAAAATAGTAACATAAGAGATTAATTTTGCAAGTAAGAAACTTGAATCAAAGTATTAGATAATTCTGATGCATTTTCTAGGCTTTCTGTAACTTGTTTTTTTAATTTTTCAATAGTTTCTTGAAATTTTTCTTCTGATACAAATGACATATTCTTAAATCTTAAATTTAAAAATGATGCAGCAAAATCATGAATTTTTGAATTCTTTCATCTTCTCATTAATGATTCATAAATTTTATCTAAAACTGTAATAATTTCTAAATAGGTAAGTGTTAAATTCATTATGATTAAGTAATGAAAAAGCTTGTGAAGAGTGAGAAACATTTGTAAAAGTTTTGGATATTTGCTTTCACCTATTAGTATAGTCGCAGCAGCAAGACTTAAGTAGAATTACTAATTCATTTAGATATTTTTATTCATTTCTTGATAGTATTAAGTTACTTAAAACTCCATCATTTGCTTGTGCTTAATGATTTAGATCACATAATAATTGAATTTCAAGTTTATTAATTGTATCACAAAGAAGTAAAATAAAATAAATGTTGAATTTCAATGAGTTTTATTATCACTATCAATAGGAGCAAGAGATTTGTATTGTAAAGTCAAATAATTTTGATTATTTGTTCAATTTATAATATTTTGTTGTATTTGTTTGAATTTGTTATGATATTTGTCATAATTTACAAGAAAATTATTCAAGTTTTTTGCTTTTTTTTACTAATATATATTTTACTAGTTCAAGTTCATCATTAATTGCGAGTTGAATAGTATATGTTATACATTTTATATAATTATATCCAAGTTATTGCATTACTTTCTTTATTAAAGAAGTATTATCTGTTATATTTATAAAAAGTTTTTGATATATATTTTATTGATCAAATAGATTTCAGAGAGTATCTTTAATATAATTATTTATATAAGAGTATGGAAGCTTTTTGATTATTAAGAGAGCTTGATATGATATAAAATCTGCAAAGAGCCAATAAATTATTACTTCAATATATAAAATATGATATATCATTCACAAGTCAGTAATGAATAAGAATTTTATCATTGTTTTATGTATTAATATATTTAGTTATATTATAATATAGTGTTACCATTTTATATGAGTTCTTGGAAGAGCTGGTGAGTGCTTAATAACGTTATAATAAGTTACTTGACCAGAATAATTATAGTAAAGTTTATTAAGAATGACGGGTGAGAGAGTATAATATAATCAAATTTATATAATGCATCAAGCATTAAACTATAATTATAAATGAATCTAAAGAAAGATAATAGTATATTCATAATGTGATCAGCTAGAATGAGACCTGGAATTTTTAATAATGATATTTAATTAAAGGATTTATATAATAAATATGTAATTTCATTATAAGATCATAATTCAATAATAATTTTATTATTAGGTGAATTTATTATTAATTTATTACATGTTTTAATTATTATTTATTATTCTTGAGATTCTGAGAGCTATTGAATCTAAGAGCTAAGCTAAGCTAAGCTACAAGCTATATTTATATAAGTTATTGTTACTCAATTTTTCAAATATTAAAATTATTTTTGATTGATATTAAGGTTACAAAAAGTACTTCACTTTTTGGTTACACATCACTTGTTCACTTAATGTTATATAAATTTTATTATTAATATCAATTAAACTTGATTATATAGATTAATTAACAAATTTAAAAACCAATAATATCTAACATATAATTGTTCAATAAAATATAAATATAAATATAAAATTAACCAACAGAATATAATAAAATATCATTCAATTAAATTTATAATATGAATTAATCAATAAAATAAGAACTAAATATTCATTTCATAACACTATAAACAAGTATAACTATAAAAGAATTTAATTATATATATTTAAATCTTATTAAATTATATATACAAGTTAATAAACTAAGCTTTTCAAAGCTCTGTTAAAAATCAAATTGTAAATATGGTAAATTAAGTTTTTTTTTTAGTTTTTTAAATTATATTATATTTTATAAAGTTATTAAAATTTAAAATTAATCACTTTTATTATTAATTTTTAATTTCAAATATCGATCAGTTAACTTTTGATCAATTAGCAATTAATTAAAGTTATGTTATTATATAATAGCATAATTATAGATTATTAAAACATAATGAACTCATTATTTTTAAAATAATTTTTCAATTAATATTAATTAAAACTTTAAGTAATTGTTTTTCTAATAATAATAAATTTTTAAACATTGTTTAATAATATTTTTAGATACTATTACCATTTTGATGGGACTTTTGAAATACTCAAAGAAATTTATAAAATTTAAGGAATATTAAAAGGGAAACTTCCAATGTCTTAATGACAATTCAAAGTCTTAATAATACTTTATGACTTTAGACTGAATATAAATTAAAGTATGACAAGT